ACCTAAGCAGAGAGGAAGACTTACACGTAGAGCAACAACCCCAAGGAAAATTCAGAAGCTAGGCCCTAAAGCTCACAAATTTTGTCATTGGAAAGCCCTTAGGTCCTTTCTTGAAAGTGAAAATGAAAGTCACTCCGTCCTGTCCGACTCTCTGTGACCCCATGGACTGTAGCCCACCGGGCTCCTCTGTCCTTGGAATGCTCCAGGTACTGGAGTGGGTAGCCATCCCCTTCTCCAGGGGATATTCCCAGCCCAGGGATTGAACCCAGGTCTCCCTCATTGCAGGTGGATTCTTTACCAGCTGAGCCACCAGGGAAGCCCCATAGATCTTTCCTTAACCTTTGTTTACTCTTCACAGTCTGAGCCAGCAGATGATTGATTGGTTTACAGAGTTCAAGGTGGTAAATTCTAGGAGGAGCAAGCATGTCCATCTTGGAAGCAAACTAATCAACAGCTGTAATAGGTGTTAATACAACAGTAAAGAAAGCAAGGAAAAAAAAAAAATCATGTAACACCACTAAAAAGTGAAAAACAAACACATTATACAGGTCTGGGGACTTACCCTTATATGGGATTGACCAAAATGTTTGTGTAGGTTTTTCATAAGGAAAACCTACAATAAATGCCAGAGGAAGCATTTATGCCAGTTTTATGCAGAAGGCCTATCTGTCTGTTAAATTCACCTTCCCCAGTAATCTCGCTAAAGGATGAGGTGGAATGTTCATCACAGAAACAAGAGTTTGACACATTCATCAGACTTTCCAAATTTCAACTAGAGTTCAGTTCAGTTCAGCTCACTTCAGTCACTCAGTCGTGTCCGACTCTTTGTGACCCCATGAGTTGTAGCACGCCAGGCCTCCCTGTCCATCACCAACTCCCGGAGTTTACTCAAACTCACGTCCATCGAGTTGGTGATGTCATCCAGCCATCTCATCCTCTGTCGTCCCCTTCTCCTCCTGCCCCCAATCCCTCCCAGCATCAGAGTCTTTTCCAATGAGTCAACTCTTCACATGAGATGGCCAAAGTATTGGAGTTTCAGCTTCAGCATCAGTCCTTCCAATGAACACCCAGGACTGATCTCCTTTAGGATGGACTGGTTGGATCTCCTTGCAGTCCAAGGGGCTCTCAAGAGTCTTCTCCAACACCACAATTCAAAAGCATCAACTTTTTGGCGCTCAGCTTTCTTTACAGTTCAGCTCTCACATCCATACATGACCACTGGAAAAACCATAGCTTTAACTAGACGGACCTTTGTTGGCAAAGTAATGTCTCTGCTTTTTAATATGCTATCTAGGTTGGTCATAACTTTCCTTCCAAGGAGTAGGCGTTTTTTAATTTCATGGCTGCAGTCACCATCTGCAGTGATTTTGGAGCCCCCCAAAATAAAGTCAACAGTGTTTCCACTGTTTCCCCATCTATTTCCCATGAAGTGATGGGACCAGATGCCATGATCTTAATTTTCTGAATGTTGAGCTTTAAGCCAACTTTTTCACTCTCCTCTTTCACTTTCATCAAGAGGCTTTTTAGTTTTTATTCACTTTTTGCCATAAGGATGGTATCATCTGCACATCTGAGGTTATTGATATTTCTCCCGGCAATCTTGAATCCAGCTTGTGCTTCTTCCAGCCCAGAGTTTCTCATGATGTACTCTGCATATAAATACAGCTTAAGTGGTATTAAAAGATAAACTGAGGCATACCAAGCATTTTAAGAGTCTACCTGAACAAAAATCAGTTTCAATGGGGCAGCAGCATACCAGAAGTGGTTAGGAACACTCCAAGGACCCCAACTAGGGGAGAGATTTTTATGGAGAAAAGGCAGAAGAAAACAGGGAAATTATTTCATTGGCTGTAGCTTAAGTGTTACCCACTCCAGTGTTCTTGCCTGGAGAATCCCAGGGACGGGGGAGCCTGGTGGGCTGCCGTGTATGGGGTCACACAGAGTCGGACACAACTGAAGCGACTTAGCAGCAGCAGCTTAAGTGTTTGCCTGATTCAGAAAAGTCTAGTTGGGAGTTTGTGACTGGTTGTCCTTAGGTTTTGATCTCAGACTTGAGGCACTTACAGGCTCAGGTTTGCTTACATAGGCTGCTAAAACCATCAGAGACGCCTCAGACTGATGGCCTCCTTGTTTAGTTAATTTAATAGTGGGGAACATGGACTTCATCCTCCCTGTGTTCTGAAGCTCTTTTTATTTGTACTCTAGGGTAAGAAGCAGAGAGGGAGAAAAGGAGAAAGGGGACTTCCTATGCAGACAGCTCCTTCATTGTTCGTTATTTCGTCTACTCCATGCCCTGTGCCAGGACCACAGGGGCTAGCGTGATGTTTCTGGCCTAAGTTTCATGAAAAGCACTGTATTTTGTCCTGTGTTTTAAAAATCTAAAAGGATAATGGTGAAGTTTTAAAGTCGGGCAGTGAATATCCAATGATAACATCTATTTTAAGAAACCAACAGTGGGGTTGAATTTCTGGTTTGAAGATTTTAATGAAGACTACTACTTTGAAGATTTAGGTATATTTTTCTGATTTACATTAGAAAGAACTGACAGACCTCTGGCTGGAGCCTTTCCCTTTCTGTGATGTTAAAAAAACAAAACAAAACACTTATATCTAGGACTGTTTGACCCATTGACTGCATTACATTTGCTCTCTTTCTTATCTAGACTGATGTTATAATAAGGATACTCTAGGTTTTCAGTTGTTCCTACATAATTGTATTCAGATCACCACCACCCCTAGGGCAAAGCGAATGCATAGCTCTAAAGTTTAGTCCAAGTATTGTGCTATGAGGCCTTACCTGGTTGTTATGAAACTTTATTGTGTACTTTTGTTGTAAGCTACATCATATATTTTTAGTAATGAGGCAGGACATCTAAATAAAGCAAATAAAACTGCTTTATGTAGCTTTACCTAGACTCATAAGTCTTAGAGCCTGACATCTACTCAGGAAAAGTGGTCTGCTTTTGCAGGTGAGATATTTTCATTCCCATTTGAAATAAAGGGTAACAAAACCACAGACAGCTTTGTAAATTATGCAACATCCCCTATTCAGCAAACCTAACAGGAAGAATTCCACCCCAGCTCTCTGGAATCCTTGCATTTCTTCCCTTCCCTAATTCTGCCTGCTCTCATCATCTTTGCTCTGAAGAGACTGTCTACAATTTATTTATTATTCATTCAGTCAGTCAACAAACATTTATTGAGCACTATTCAATGGCCAGTGGGTACAACACCTTAAAAAATAAACATTTTCTGTAAAATCCTCTTTAGACATACTTACTGAACATTTACTGCGTGGCAGGTGGGAGGCCACTGTGATCAACCCTCCATGTACCTGAGTTTTTCTTTAGCCTTATAACAGTTCTGTGAGCTGAGCACAGCGCTGCATTGTCTGGCTCTCCGTTTCCTCTCCATGGAATGTTTGGTCGTTTCCATTTCCATGATTCTTTTACACTCTTATATTCTCCAAGCCCATGGAAAGGTTGATATAGCCTACAGTATGGTAGTGTTTTGCTCTAGGCTGTCTCTACTAAGGCAATAAACAATAGCAGATCTTTTAAAGTCACAGTGAAATCAAAGGATATCCCCTCAAGAGGAAATGATTAGCACCTTCATGATTTCAAAGGGAGATGTTTTAGACATTTGCATGTGACTAGTAGTGGTAGCCTTGACTTCGTTATTAGAGTTCAAAGTAATGGATTTAACGGTATTATTTGTTGTTGTTATTTTTGTTCAGTTGCTAAGTCATGTCCGACTCTTTGCAACCCCATCGACTGCAGCACACCAGGCTCCCCTGTTCTTCGCTATTTCCCGAAGTTTGTTTAGATTCATGTCCTTTGAGTCCATGATGCTATCTAACCATTACATCCTCTGTCGCCCCCTTTCTCCTCTCGCTTTCAATCTTTCCCAGGATCAGGATCTTTTCCAGTGAGTCTGCTCTTTGCATCAGGTGGCCAAAGTATAAGTTTCACTAAATACATTTTGGTTTCTTGGAATCTTCTAGTATTGATGGCAACGTCACAGCTGTAATTAAATCACTATTCTCTTAGCCCTTTTGAACCCATGTCCTGCCTATTATTAAAGGCTGTCAATTCATATCTTTTGGTAATCGTTGCCTAGAGGAGAACTGTTCTTGGTCAGACACTGAATTGCCCACACTTGTGGAACATCTTCCCCTGCTGACCACTGAAGTGAAAGACTAGGAGTAATGATGAAATCTAATTTTCCCCCCTGTAGAAGCAGCATGAGCTGGGTCAGCAAAGCCAGTCCCTGCAGATGGCTTTAAAATGCCTTTGTGATTTGATCTCCTTGTTTTTCATCCATTTCTCTAAGTGCCCATCACTGTCATCCTTAACCACTCTGACAAGATTCCAAGGTGAGAACAGCCCAAATGAACAAAGCATTTGTGATGCTTCCCAGGGGTGTTGCTTATTAAATGAATTCGGCAGTAAACCAAGTCTGACTTGTGAGCTACAAGGCAGGTTATCACATTGACGTGAAGATCATTCTATATATTTTTTAACCCGTTCGAATGCTCTGTTATCTCTCTGCTGCTCAGCATAACTTATGTGAAACAATATAAACTTGCAAGTTAATGATGTCGGATTTGTATTTTCAAATGTGCTGGGAGTCAGTTGGTTTCATTCCTTTGTTTGGATTGCATCTTATTTTCTCAGAACAACTAGAGAATGTTTATGAAGGGTGTGTGTGGAGGGCAGGGAAGGAAGGGAATAAAAATGAATTGCTTTAGGGCAGCACATCTGTTTTAGGGACTCTGTTGGATCTGCACATTAAGCATTGTCACGACTTATGGCATGTCCTGAAATTGCCTTCTACTCAGAGTTCTTCATACCAAACTCAAAATGTTATAGTTAAATGGGTTTCACTGTTCTGAGTTAGTTTCCTCTTTTCATGAGCGGCAGGATATTTTTCTTCTCTATGAGAAAGCATGGGAACGATCCATAACAGGTGGTAACTCATTATTTTATTTTATTTTTTCAGATGGGCAGTATCAGGTTGCTCAAGCCTTCCCACAGACAGAAGAGGAGGTGGAGGTGGACACACATGCATTCAGCCACAGGTGGAAAAGGAACTTGGATTCTCTCAAGGCCGTAGATTCAAACCGAGCTAGCCTGGGCCAAGACTCCCCAGAGCCCAGAGGCTTCACGGACCTGATCCTGGACGATGGGCAGGACAACACCACCCAGATTGAGGTGGGTGGATGATCTGGGTGATTGAGATGGATTAATGAGTATGCTTCTTGGAAGGCTCCCAAATTCCACATTATGCTGTCTCTTTGGCTCAATCTGGAACTTTTGGACCTTTTTGCAGGGATCAGTTTAATTCATTAATTAATAATTGATTAATGATGATAACAATAATAATCACAGTATTTAACAATAATTTTTGTTGTACAATTTGTTAATATTCAGGAACTCAATGATAAGTAATTATTATTATGGTAAATAAATAAATAGCTAAGCCAGTTAATCATCCACAGATTCACTTACTCAGGAAACGACAAACAGGGGCTTGGTGTGGTGATGACAGTGAGGGGAGAGAATAAAGCTCCTCCCCACTGGGACATCAGTGTATCTAAGGGTCAGAAAATCTAGCTGCCATAGCCACGTGATATGCACAGAAGTATGTACAGGCCAGTGTGACATGGAGGAGGGGGATCACCTGCTTGTGATTGGGGGGATGGACTGCTGGCGAAGAGGCTTAGGAGTGGGCATCTAAGCTCAGGCTCAGCTGACTGAGAGGAGCTCAGCAGGCTGATAATCTGTTAATAGTAAAAGAAGATTGCTGGCAGAATGAATTACACCTGCAAAGGCTGACTGTCAGGATGGCAGGCATGGAGTCTCATATGGTAACCAACCAGCTGTCCCAGTTTACCTGGGACTGAGGGCGTTCCTGGGATGTAGGACTTTCAATGCTTAAAATGGGGAAGTTCTGGGCAAGCTAGGATGGTTGATTACTCTGTTACTGTATATAATTCTCTATGATAATTGGAGCCATGAAGTGGAAAGAAAAGGATGGTTGCAGGTGGGCTTGGTGAGTATGGAAGGCTGCTGAAGGCACATTCGAGGCAGATTTTGGGGTTGCCCAGAGGCCTCAAGGGTGGTGTTGGTTGCATTGTCATTCAGTCGCTAAGTCATGTCTAACTCTTTGTGACCCCATGGACTGTAGCACGCCAGGCTTCCCTATCCTTCACCATCTCCCTGAACCTGCTCAAACTCATGTCCATTGAGTCCGTGATGCCATCCAACCATCTCATCCTACTGCCCTCTTCCCCTCCTGCCCTCAGTCTTTCCCAGTATCAGGATCTTTTCCAATAAGTCGACTCTTCACATCAGGTGGCCAAAGTATTGGAACTTCAGCTTCAGCATCAGTCCTTCCAATGAATATTCAGGGTTGATTTCCTTTAGGATTGACTGGTTTGATCTCCTTGCAGTCCAAGGGACCCTTAAGAGTCTTCTTCAGCACCCCAGTTCAAAAACATCTAGGTTTCCATGGTCCTTTGCATTGCAAATGGTAAAATATGATCTTGTTAGTACACTAGATATAACAAAGAGAAACAAATGAATCTTACAGAAATAAGCGAAAACCACTTGAATGAGAACAGAGCTGTTTGTTCAGTTTGTTACAGCAAGGGTGTGAGCCTTCATCACTGGCCTTCAGAAGAGACTCAAAGAAGGCAGGAGAGTGGGAAGGCTTCTCAGTTTAAAAAAAAAAAGAAGGCTTCAGGTATGCTGTGACTGGAGGTGGTTGGCATGGAGAAGCCAGATGTGGGCTAGTCAGAAGCCAAGAATTTTGTGGGATTGGTCTGGGGGATGTTTGGCTATCCATGCTTGGTCCAGAGTTGGGCAGAGGAACAAAAAAAAAAAGAAAAACCATCAGTTGTCAATCAAGTCTTACCCATTCTGGACCAATTGCTTCCAGGATTGAGTTTTGGCTCCTGGACTAGTTGCTTTAGAAGTTGAGGCCAGACTTCTGTTTTTATTCATGGTGTGGACATTGTCTGTATATTCTCTCCATCTGAAGTTTTAGTTCCCACCATCTTCTAGGTAGTCTTATGTTTTAAAGAACCAGGCAGCATTCTTTTTAGTGCCCTGAAATACTCATTATTTAGGAAGCAGATGCGACATAGTTCTGCAGATAGTATCAAGGCTTTGTTTTGTTCCCTCAGGATAAGAGCAATCTTCAGATCTGAAGCCTAGGCCATTGGGATTCTGTGGATGTGAGAAGCCCAGTGATTTTCAAAACCCTTCTTCATCCCCTTAGCTAGTGTGTGACTTTGGGGGGTCCCTGGATGCCCCAAGTCAGCCCCTTAACAGGCAACAGAGGATGTGCCAGTAGCAGAAGTCATATAGTACTTCCAAGAGGCTATTCCGACTCCTGCAGAGTGCCTGCTATTTTGTCAACAGTGTAGTTACAGCAACTCAGAGTGGGCAACACAGTTCTTCCCTGAGCTGCCCTTTGGCCAGGGTGCAGCAGAAAGCAAGGAGAGCGGAACAGGAACAGAGCTATTTACTCTCGGCCTAGAACTCAGCTAGTAACCTGCAGAGATTAGAAGGGGAGAACGTGGGCTCCCAAACCTCTGTGGTCTCTACGCAGCGTGCTGAGTTTTTCTTATCATTTATCAAATAGAAAAGTCCTTTTGCTCAGGGATTTATGAAGACTTCTCAAAATTAGTCCTAGTAGTCAGTATAGTCATGATTTTGTTTTTCAGCCACTTTTTCTCTTTTTCTACCTTAATAGAGGGAGACCATATAATGTCAGAGATTCTGAACCAGTGAAAAGGAGGAAGGATGATGGAGGGAGCTATTCACTGAGTGTTCTCTTGGTGCTGAGACCTGCCAGGTGGCCCTGTGGAATCATCTCACCTGGTCCTCTCATCAGCCTGGCAGGACTTGCATCCCCAGGTTCACTGGCTAATCTCAGTGATTTACATGAGGGACTTTCAGATTTAGGTTTAGTATTTTTCTTAAGGTCTCTCATTAATGAATAAAGGGCTGGCATTCAAACCAGGGCTGCCCAGCTCTCAAGACAGCCTTACTATATGGCTTCCTCTAACATAAGGGGTAATTTTTTTGGATAGTGGCAGCACCTGAATATCGATAGGGTAACTCCAGGGTTTCAATCTGTTTGGAAGGGGACTTTCCTTGAAGCTAGATTTCATAACAAGAGGACTGCTTTTATTTTGAGTTGTTTTTGTGGGGTTCTGGGGATAGATTGAGATTATTGGGGATCTAAAGCTCCATAAGTCACTGCTTGGAACCACCACTAGTTCTGGAAGCAAAAGCCTACATCTGAAACTTCTCAGCAAAGTTTATTTATCCTGGCCCTTGAAAAAGTATTTTTGAACACTGTTGAATCTCTTTGGGGGCTGGGGGCGGAATACTTTTGCCTGATTGAGTTAAATGGGAATAAGAAAGAAAGGAACCAAATGGTTAGAGAGTGACTGCTCTGCCCTGGGCATTGTGACAAGATCTTTCTTATCTTTTAGGAATAAGCATTTTGATTTATGTTGCTTAATACAAGTAATGAGCATGAGAGACTCTGTATGCTTTTTCTTTTTAGAAGCTTCCAAAGTCCATGTCAGGAATCAGAATTATTTTCCCTAAGAGTAAAGACTGTAGCAGCAACTGTTAAATAATACGTATCTCAGCGAGATTTAAACCACCCAGAATGGCATTCATGTGCATGTTCTCCGCAACTTCTGCCACCGTCTAGACTTTATATCCCACTTTCACTGAACAAAGACAGAAAACAAAAGACAATAGTATATTTACTCTTTTGGCACAGGCTCATTCTGTAATAAACAAAGGCTGTTATTCTCTTAAATTGGTGACAGTATTTTTTCTGGCTCTGCATGAGAACAGATAATGGAGGGATTATAAACCTTAGTATCCCAGTTAAATAATGCTTCCAATGGAAGTTTCATTGTTGTTGTTATTATCTTCTTTTTTGTTTTTTACATTCTTTTCATGAAGATATAAAGATGTTTTGAAACTATTTGTATTTCCTGGTGAATAAGTGGGGACTCAGTAGTTGACAAGCACCCCTGTTGATCTGGATGTTAATTTACACGAGACCTTTCTTCTTGTATCTTCTCTGTTCATGTGGACGTGTGACCATGTGGACGTATGACCACCTGAACAGAGGGGATCCAAAAAGAGGCATACCTTACTTGGGCAGATCGAAAGAAGCATACTTCCTTCTGATTAGCGGGTATTTAAAGCAGTCACTAGCATGCTTTTTGTAATTACTTTGGGAACAGAAGGGCTTCAAGGACTCTCAGGTAAGACTGAATTCCATTCATGATACGGCCTTGTTTGAGCTGTCCTCAGTGAATTCCATGCCCCCAGGGACACATGCATGGATGAGCAACACGTGGACCTTCTCCTCCCTGCTGACTGCCCTTCTGTTTTCTGGGGCGGAGCGCTTACAGCAGTGAGGGGGCCTCGTAAGAAAGAGGGGGTTAAGCAGTGTTTGGTGAGAACAGCCAGTCTTTATAGAGCTAAGGTTCTTGGGCTTCTTCCTGTGTAATATTGTTGATAACTTACGGTCAATCCCTTTACAGAAATCAGTCAAAAATTCCTTTCTCATGCAAGGAAGCAAATACGTGGTTCTTGCCACTTTTTTCACATCCAGTGTTTGGAACTTCATATTCCTTCTCTTGGGACAGTGAATGTATTTCTGAAAAGGCTTGTCAAGTGTGACTTTGTTTTTGGCTTTGATTCCGTATTACCTGGATGACTGGAAGAAGGGAAGACTAAAAATAGGATTTATGGATCATATAAGTGAAAGTCCATGATCCAGACTGACGGAGACACTGTGAATTTGACCAGCACCTCTCCGGGGATACAGATATGGCCAAACCACAGGCCACACTTGCCTTTGCAAAGAGTTAGAACACAGAGCAGATTTAGCTGTTGGTTTTGAGGATGTAAATTTCTGAAAAATTCTAGATTAAATTGCACTGACTACCAACAATATCATTCATGGATTTCCCATTCTTGTACCGAATTAAAAATTGCAGGCACATCTAGCAATTGTGTCACCTCTGTTCACATTAAAGCTTATCTTTAAGGAAAATATCCTGGAGAACGGTTAGCAAATATACCCTATGTTGTTGTTTAGTCACTAAGTTGTGCCTGACTCTTCACAACTCAAATTTTCCTCAAATGTGTATGTAAAAACTCTTTTT